AAGCCGTGAGCATCGTATATCAAAATTATTGTTAAAAATTTGTGTGACTTAGGTTGTGACAGTTGATAGATGCGACTCTCGATGGATCTCGAAAACTTTACTGCTGTTTCGAAAACCACGCAAGGTTGGCTTCACTTCTCTCGAAGCTTGAAAGTATGGGAAGCGCCCCAGAATAACCCGCTCGTGCATTGTCTCCCAGCTTGAAAATGCTTCTGTTTCCTACAAATACTTCGGAGTTACGCTGAGGGTCAGCATAACGCCATAACAGCCTCAGTTATTTTCACAATCGGCAGTTTAGTGCGACTGCATTATTAGGTTGTTAGGTACGGGAATGCTGGTTTTGGCCTTCATTTTACTGGAGGCATTCTATCTGAATTAAATTGGTTGTGACAAAAACTTTTGGAAAGTACAGATTTTCTCGACAACAAGCATACTTACTTGTCCCGCTCATATCAAAATGAGCGCTTCCGAAGGCGGTGACATCGAGCACCGTTTCCACATAAGTTTGAACTTCGAATCATTCTTGACTCAAGAATTTGTCGAGGTGGTTGGGAAAGGGGGTATTGATGGGGGAGAGGTCCAATGAGACGACGTGTGGAGCAAAAAACGTACGCCGGCAAGCTAAATCCTTGCGAGGTCGTTTATGGGACATGTGGCTGAGCGCCACCATGAAGGAGGGTTGTTTCACTTCTCTCGGTTGACGAAGTTGGTGTTTCTAGAGCATCTCATCGGTATGCTGGAGAGAAATTGGTGTTGTGTTAAGTTCGTCTGGTTTCCAAGAGGTGTGGTGCATCAGCCCCGAATGCCGATTGCTCAGCTCACCTTTACGAATTTACGCTGAAATGCAACCAATTTCAAATTAAATTAAGAATGGTCAGTCATACAAGAAAGAAGGAAAAACCATGAGAAAAGGTCTGGGACCCGAGGCATAAGGCTATTCTATTATTTTGAAGAAGTGGCTTCCTCTATTCGCGAAGATTACATTTTCCGTCGTCGAGATCATGCATTTTAAAGGCTAGTAATTTTGATACGTAAAAAGGGAGGAAACGACCCCTCAGAATGACGTATTGCTGCTCAGTCAGCTCATGCCTGTTCAGCTTCTTCTACTTCCCCCTCCCCCCCCCCCCCCGATCAACTTCAGAAGATGCGATTCTTATGAGTTTACTCCTAGTATTAGCGCTAGCTGTAGTGCAGCGGTACCATCATCTCCGGGAATCCTCAGAAAGCCGTCGTCAACAGCAGAACCACGCTTTTACGCTTTTAAATCTCCAATCTTCACGATGGAATCCTTCAAGACCAAGATATTTGAACGAGTGATGTGCTGCCCTTTCATCAGTGCCTACCATCCTTCAGTGTTATTTCGAAGTCTGTGGAGAAAAACGCCAGAGTTTCAGTACATCAAAGTAACTTCGACTAAATCTTTGCCTTGACACCATCAGTGCAAAGCTACATAAAACCACCAGATAACATGTAATATTAAAATTCGAATATACACGGAAGAAGATATTATGGGCTTGACAGTTATATAGAGCTTCAAATTTCTGTGTTGAAATATTTCAAGTATGCATGGCATCTGGAAACCCGCATTACTTTCCGATCAACCCAACACTGAAAAGATGTATTCTATGATCTCCCAGTTAAAGGCAAGATTCGAGTTTAAATGATGAGGTAATTCCACACAAATGTGATGTAGGGGTGGAGGTGGACCGCCAGTGGAAGAGAAAAAGGAAAAGGAAAATTCGCGAAATACGCAGGAAATACGAAATGGCAGGGAGAGATAATGTGAGCGCGGAGAGCGGTAGAGAAATCCGAGAAGAGAGAGCATAGCAGATCAGCATTGCGACGCAGACAAGAATATCGAGCGGTGGGCGGAGCGTGTCGCAACAGGTGGAGCGTGTCAAAGTCCTTTGGCCCCTAGCGCCTTAGTGACGCATTTCGATGCGGGAACTTGGCGAGTCGCCTGCAGTTGCGTCCCATGCACTTCTAGCCACTTTAAGGGCTTATTAGGTGGGTCTGAGCCCGAACTTTGCCTTTAAGTGAAGCATTTGTCGAATAACTTATGAGCCTATCGCCTACCTTCCAGGCTCCGAAAGAAAGGCAAAATTAACGAAAACTTAGCCTTATGGAACCTCATTTACAGTTGAACAGTAAACCTATTGCAAAACAAGCAACTGGAACTTATTAGATATCCATTTTTTCAAGTTTTTCGATAATGAATCTCTAGCACCAAAAATTCTATTTTCTTTCACTTTCTTGCAGATACCACCGAAACGAAGCTAAGGTGCCACGTTTGGCTGCGATGCGGGCTTTTCGCAAAAGCACTTGCCTCCTGGAGCTATTTCACTATAATAGACACATATTCCAGACATAATACAGTAAGACTGCCTTACATTAGAACATTTCGAAAGTTTGTAATCTGAATATGGATGAACTCAACCTGTTTGATGTAGTCGCATTTCATATCAACCAAAGGAGCCGGCGTTTTTCCGCCATCACCGTACGTGGTACCGTAGACTTCGGCATTGGTCCACCCGGACTGAAATTCAACGTGTAACACTGGTTCTAAGAAAGATCAAAGAATAGAATGAGCAATTTCTAAGAAGCAGCCTACCTTTAGGAGATGCTGTCGCTGCCCTTCAAATGATCCCGCCGTGTTTGTGATTCCATGTACAAGCACGACAGGCTGCTTCCTGAACGAGCATAAAGCACAAACTAGCTTACATGGCCGATAGTAATGATCTACGTAAAATGGCCAAATCCTCTATAGTTTCTGTTGGGATAGGCCGAGAAGCACCATACATTCTACTCAAATGAACTGACACCAACACCTCTTTTTCGCTCCATTTTCATCTCGTTTTTCTGTGCACTATGTGAGAGGGTACAATGTCTTCTTCCTAATGAAACCAAATTTCATGCAAGTTCTCAAAACTAGTGAAATAACTACTTCACTTACGTCAGTCCTCAAATTGAACTCACTAGGGGCTCTGGCACGTTACATCTAGCAGCAGTCTAACCTATCAGGGAAGCTCTTATGAGCAACAGTTCAACTCTTCAATAAGTTTGGAACCACCACAGATGGAAAATTCGGGGACTCGAAAGTTACAGTTACCACCAGGATAATTATCAGATGCAGAAACTAGGTCTCCCCTTGTCGACTTTCGTACTCCCAAAAATGAAAAAATTGATGTGAAAACCCAGCCAGACACTCTAAAGACTCCACATCTGTAGTGGATAGAAAGCCACACGAGTAGTCTACTTGGGACTTCTTACAGGACCGAGCACCCAAGAGCAAAAATCCTCTAAAAAGCGATTTTTCGAGTTCGTTGCTTTCGAAGAATTGTTACAATGGAACCTTCCACCTAATAGCTCTAGATTTCTGTATTTTACACCCTGGAGGCAAGCGCAAATAAATGCCCCACAAAACTTTGATCCCCTGAAGAAAGCAGAGCAGAAGGCCTGGAAACATTTTGACACGCCTCAGTTGCGTGCCACCGCACGCGCCATCCCCCTTCATCTGAAGGCTCGTGTAAACGGGGCAGGTGGCAGATCTCAATTCTATTCTGGAATTACTTTGAGATAAGAGTTACAAATACTTCCCTGAAGTTTGTTTGTTCCATCAAGCTACTATGCGTTTTTAACGACACAATGTCTTGGTCCTCATAATTTTGGACCACCCTGTAAACAATCTTCTAGTTATTTGTCAGTTATCATTCGAGTTGAAAGCCGATGCATGGTGCATCTCAGCGTGAAGTTTTTTCAAAACTTCAAAGAACAATCTTGTAGAGCTCGACAAGCTGAGCTTGACGATCAACGTTTTCTTTTTTCAAAAACTCGACTAGGAATCGAGATGAAGCATAACTTGACAAAAATTCCGTATACAAGTTATTCAATATTTTTCAAACTCTCGAGGTTACTGTAGAATCAGTAACTATGACGACTACAGGAAATGATTAACTACAAAGTATGCTCACTGATTCTACTTTGCAAGCAGCAAAATAGGCTTCAGAGTAAGGCTTCAAATCGCTTCCTTCTGTGGTAGCTCAAAAATTGAGACATGAAGTAAGAGATGTGGTCTTAGAATTTTTACTACGTCCTCATTTTCATACATAGTAGTTTTGTTACAATTTATAACATACGATGTTCTTGATCCAGGTTGATGTTTCCCACCTCCAAAGCTGCCAGGTCCTCCGAGATCACGGCGTGCCATTCGGTCTGCGAAAGTCTGCAAATTTTTCAGGATTACGGATGATAAACAACGAAAGCGCCTCCCCAGTTTAAGTATAGATAATGTGGTAACTAGCATTATAGTATTAAGAAAGTTTAAGTTTATTACGTTTGCATAAGGCACACGTGAGAAATAATTGACACCATTATGAATCACCGTTGAACAAGAA